GGATCCACTTACGTAACTAAAGTATTTTCATATGGGCTTAAAGGATTAGGCTCCAGAATTGTGTCTTTTCACATGCATTATCCAGGTTTTAAAATGTATTAGCTGCAATTCTAAGTCAAAAAAAGTTGATATTTATAATGTAGTATTTCATAGGCTTAAATGTATTCATAATTTAACAGTGCAAATACTAATGTACATATTGTACAGTTAAAATTTTAAAATCTGAATATTTTTATATCCCTGAATTTGAAGAAGTTTGTTACAATATCAAACTAGATTTGTTAGGGGTTTACCAGCAGTGTTATGAATGAAATATTGCTTGTATTTTAGTCAGGGGGTTTAAGTTGAAAAATGTTCAGTGCAAAACAGCTTAATTTTGTCTACTAGGTATTAAAAGCTCTATATGCATGGTGGGGCTATGTAAATACTCTCTACGGCCCTCTTAATCTTGCAAGTATTATTTATGGGTCAAGCAAAATGTAAACTATATAAATGTAAAAACCACACAAGCTTGGAATATATCATTACAACCAGTATGAAACTCCTGTGGACGTGATTTTTTTTATTATTGTTCCCCCTCCTTCCCCAAAAATAATTTCTGAAGTTTCCTTACTTAAAGGAAGAGAGATACTGAGTGGTTCTAGAAGGCAAGCTGGACAAAACTATAAAGTAGGAGGTAATCACAGTAGTTGCCTTGAAGTCCAGATAGGGAGCAGGAACTATTTAAAGTTACAATAAACTTCTTCCACTGTTTTAAATAAAGGACAAGAATTTCTTAACAGTGATATCCACTAATGAAGATAGTTCCATTTCACAGGCTTTTTTTGGTAAGAAGCATCTATTATTTCATTCATTTCCTTTCTTCAGGTGGTCAGAAAGCCAATGGCTTTAGCATTTACTAAGCTTGCCCTCCTTGAAGATAGAGAAGTATGGAAACAAAAGCAGCTAGAAGTAAGGGAGGGAATGAACATGGACACTGGTTTGCACCCAAGAAAATTAGGCTATTGCTAAGGGTAATCAGACTAGCAGTTAATTGCTTGTATTTTTCAGGGTAAAGTGACCAGAAGTGGTACTCACCACATAGGTCATTTTCCCAGCACACACAGGTCTCGTGGAGGTGGAAGCTGATCAAAGCCTTGCCTGGGTGCCTCGTGGGGTGCTTCCATCTCAGCTGCTCAGGCAGCTTTCCTAGCAGCCATGTGCCTGCTGGGCTCAAGTATGCTACAGCCCCTCAGTGGCAGGGCTTACGGGGCTGGAGATGCTGACTTGCTCATAACCCCCAGCCCAGGATGCTCCAAGGATGATTAGGACCTTCCACTCTCAGCTGGCTTTCTGTTTGGATCCTCAGAAACAAAATACTGTGCCACTACTGCTGTGCCACATGTTGGGGACATGTCTCCACAAGCAATTCTTCTGATGCCACACCATCTCCTGAGATGCAGCAGATGTACTCTCCCAAACTGTAGTACATTATGGAATATTACAGTTCTCCTAGATTAACTGCTTCTTAATACTTACTTTTTTAAAAAAAAGTTTAAAGATGACTATATGACTATTTTTTTCAGCTTGACATACACAATATCTTACTATCTTTGACAACTTGTTATGAGAAATATTTCTAATTGATTCCTCCACCTTGAGAATGGCATGGGTTATAGTGTCAGTGAGCAGCACAAGACTCAGATACAGTCACAAAAGCTCCGAAGTGTGGTTAGTGTTACTGGAAGTAGTATCCGTATTCCTAGTGGAGCATATATCCCAGTAGGCACCTAAGCATGACATAGCTCCCTACTCACTACCCCCCAGTGGGATGGGGAAGAGAAAAGTAAGAAAACTCATGGGCTGAGCTGAAGAGCATTTAATAGATAAAAACAAACTCCAAACAGAAAGTGGTACCAAAAAACCCACTAGCTCAGCACTAGCTAATACCCAGCCTGTCCTTGAACAGCAGCAGCCCTGGCAAACTCCTCACCCCCATCCCTAGTTTTATATGCCAAGCATGATGCCCTATCCTGTGATCAGCTGTCCTGGCTGTGTTCCCTCCCAGCATCTTGTGCACTCCCTCCCTCCTCACTGGTGCTGTGGGCTGAGAGGCAGAAAAGGCCTTGACTCTGGGTAAGCTCTGCTCAGCAATAGCTAAAACATCCCAGTGTTATCACCATGATTCCAGGAAAAACCTGAAGCAAAGCAACACTGCACCAGCCTCTATGAAGAACATCTAACTCCATCCCAGCCACACCCAGTACAACCTTCCTGACAGTAAAAAATATTAAGGTAAAACTTTATCCTTATAAAAATTGAAAATCTTGCAGACAAGAGGGTGACACGGATTTGGTCCTTCTCTGATACCTGGCATTACCTCCTTTCGTATCAATAGTGGTTTTGTTGCTGATTTTCACCTTTACTGCTCATATTGCCACTCAAAGCTGCCAACTCTCCCAAGTGAGGTTACAGCAGTAACCACTTCAGTCTCAGCAGACAGCACTAAATTTCCATACTCTTTCAATTTCCACCTTCTTTTTCATTTTAAGGGTATTTGCAACATTAAGAAGTGCTAGGAGTAATTTCTGTTTTCAGGAACTCTGAAGGCAACAAATTAAATTCCTCCATCACAACATGTTTCCTTCCCCCTCTGCTCTTCCTACAGCTTTCCAGAGCCCCATTGAGGCTGACTACTAGATCAGGGACATTTTTTTTTTACATGACATAAAACTAATCCAAAATACATACTTGTAAAGCAAGCAAGAATAAAAGCCATGTTTCTTCCTTAAGTTAAGGGACTTCGATATTATATTTTACTTACATCAACTGAAAGCATGCATCACAAAAGTTCAAATGCAAACATTCAACACAATGCCAAGTATTATATGGAAAAATTACCTGTGAAACTTAGGGAGTGAGAAGTTGGATAGCAGCCCTGCAGAAAGAGACCTGGAGGTCCCAGTTGATGGCAAATTATACTCAAATCAGCAATGCCCCAGGAGGAGAAAACAGGAGGGCCAACCCATGTCCTGGGGGGCATCAGGCACAGCATTGGCAGCCAGGCAAGGGAGGGGATTGTGCTGCTCTGCTCCTCACTTCGAGTGCTGGGGGCAGTTTTGGGAGCCACAATATAAGGATATGAATCTATCTGTGTGCCCAGATTAGGGTGATCAAGGTGGTGAAAGGAGTGCCCTGGATGAGACGAAGGGGTGACCTCAGTGCATTCTACAGGTTCCTCAAGGTGGGCAGCACAGGGGCAGGCAATGAATTCTCTCTGGTGCCCAGTGACAGGACTCAAGGAAATGGAATGAATCTGCATCAGGGGAAGTTCACATTGGACATGAGAGGATGGTTAGTCACTGGAACAGGCTTCCCAGGAAAGTGGTACAGCCCCATGCCTCGCAGAGTTCAAGGAGCATTGGGACAATGCTCCTAGTGGTTCAGTGAGGAGCAGGGAGTTGGACTCAACCAACACTACAGGCCCCTTCCAACTTGAGATACTCTATGATTCTGTGAGTGTAAACTTAGGCCTTACTTTACAGAAAAGCACTTGAAAACTTGGATACTTTTATAACAATAAACTTAATCAGGCTTCTAACAAAGGAAACACCTAACGAACTGTACAGTAGCAATGGCAATTTTTAATAAAAAATATATTACACACAATTTTATTATTTTTCCATTAGCATTTCTAACCCAAAGTAGAAACTTAGATGTAACATCCTGAAGGCTCTCAGTCCTGTAGTGAAGTAGTGAAGTGCTGCAGTTAGGCTTCTGCATCAGAGAAGACTTTGACTGATCTCAGTAAACCAGTTTGTTGCCAGAAGGAGTGGATCAGGTGTCACTACCATGTCACAACAGCTTGCCTCTCTTCTCCTCTCTCCCTCCCCAAATCAGCATCCTGTAGGATCCATGAGCTGATTCCCACTCACTCACTGTGCAGCCCACACAATCCCAGTTGCAGGTCATGTCCTTGCAGCAATGTGAACTCTTAGAAAACAAGAAAAGTCAACTGCAAAACCTCCCCTTACCGACATGAGAACTAACCAGGCATCTCAGGAATCTGATGCAATACATATTTAATACACCATATCAAGATTTGCATGTGTAAGATGCTGTGATACATACAGTACCTTGTACATGCCAAATCATTGCTACTTTGTGTTTCTGCACACCATTCTAATGAAATCTGGAAATAGTGAGTTTGGTTATTAGTCCTTTTACAGAGTTTCACATGCTCTAAATGCAATGTATACAAAACAATCATGCTTATACTTGCCTCCTTGTGATTATGACTCACATTATCACTTCCCTAAAATGCTCATAAAAAACCAGTACCTTAATAAATGCATTCGTCAGGATTCCACTGCATCCTAAATATTTTTCACTGGGAACCTCTTGGCTTTCCTCAACCACTGTTCCCAAACTGCAAGTTGTTCTATCAGGTCAAGAGTGCTGCTGGACACTAACCAGAATCACCTAGGTTTGAAGTGATAGTGAAATTGAGGACTTAAGGATAAACTCTGTGTTCCACCTAACTGAAAGCAACCTGGTCTCTAAGGCTGCAATGTAAGATGTAACCAGAAGTATGTATTCTATCACCATCTGTTGAAACCACGTGGAGCAGTGTTCTTTATCTCTTCCATGACCCATCCCTCATAACTCTGGGGGGGATATCCTGTTAATGAGCCAGCTGTTGAAACCAGGTGGGGCAGTTTTCTTTATCTCTTCCAGGACCCATCCTCAGCCCAGGGAGATCTCTTCTGTTAATGGGTCATTGAGTCTCAGTGCCTGACTGAAAATTACACCATCCCAGCGTGATGGGATGCTCCACCCAGGGGGAGGAGGCAAGCATTCCTACCTAGATAAAAATCTGAGATCTGGAATACCAGAGGAGCCTTTTTCCACTGGATTCCCAGAGGAAGACCAGGCACGTCTACACCACAACTGGAAAACTACACCCTTCTACAGGGCCATGGCTTTAACAGAACCACTCTTGTCACTCCAGGAGGACTGCAGCCACCATTTAATCAGACTGCTACCAACACACTGACCAACAGGGTGTAAGGTTGTATTCTGACGCTGTTGGTGTTGTTTTGTATCTGTGCATTTTTATTTTAATTTTCCTAGTAAAGAACTGTTATTCCTATTCCCATATCTTTGCCTGAAAGCCCCTTAATTTCAAAATTATAATAATTCAGAGAAGGGGGGTTTACATTTTCCATTTCAAGAGAGGCTCCTGCCTTCTTAGCAGACACCTGTCTTTTCAAACCAAGACACCTGGCTTTACTGAAGAGATGGTCCTGCTCACTTTCCTTGTCCATCCTTGACACTCCAAATCCTGCTCCTTCTTAAAGCTGGAAATAAAGATTACACACAGCCTCCTTATTGTTAAAACTGATGGATGAAAAGGCTTGAGAAGTTGTAAGTGGGGAGAGCAACAGAGTAGGAAAAGTGACCTTTCCCTGCTCAGTGCCTGCCCATAGCTACATTCTGTACAGTGTAGTTAAAAACAGAGCAAACAGTAACAAAAAATGGAATCCATCCTACATAATGCTGCTTACTAGTAGTGAGTCATGATATGGAAAACACCAAAATTTAAAAGGCATTTTGTAGAACCTGCAATTAGAACAAAAATACAGCACTTTTTACATCAAGTAGTTAATTACTCTGGCAGTCAGAGATGAGAGATAAATCCTAGTGTAATTTTACAGAATTCAGCTGATTTTTTAAATTAAACCAGGCTAAATAATTTAAATCATAATTGTGACCAATTTTGCAAGTTTTCCCTTCCTATAGCATGTATGATAACAAGACGTATTTGTGCATAACTTGAGGAATGAGAGCAGCTTCATGTAATTTTAATAAAAAATACAATGCTTCAATTACACTTGTAAGCATCAAAATGTAAGTGTACAGACATCAGACTGATCATTTTTTCTAAGGTAACTGTGTAAGGTTTCAAAACCAGTTCGTTGCTTTACAGCATTTTTGAAAAGAACATCCTTTCAAAGGAATATACGTCAACAAGAACAGGTAGGATGAATACATTTGTGGAGACCACAGTGGACAAAGGAACAGCCACCTGAGCTACTGGAAAGGAGCACAGGCCTTGTGTTCAAACCTCAAACAAAAGTTCCTCTTTCCCCACAAAAAGCAGATTTATGTACTATGGCAGACACAATGCAGAGGATCTAAAAGCATATTTTTGTCCTTAGTATGAGCCCTCTTTGAAGGGCTCTGACACATCTTGGTTGGCAGCATCGTACTGAGCAATGAAATGTTTGAGTTCTTCAATGCATCGCTCACCTATCTCATGCAAATTCTGCCTCAGGGCAAACTGAATGGACTTCTCTAAAGATGGATCTTTATCAATTAGCATCTTCACTACCATGCCAAAGGTTTCACAGTCTTGTCTGTAGACCTAGAAACAACACATTTTAGAAAATTATTAAATGCAAAATCTTTACATTAGCACATTATTTACATTAACCCTTATTGAGTTAGATCCAAACGTAACAAAGGATATTGGATTGAACTTGAATTTCAGCTGTAAAACTTACTGACCATTTCCTCTTTTCTGACCTGTGCTAATAAAAATGTAACTAGCTCAGCACTATCTGGATACCAAAAATAACTTTTATAAGGTGAAATACCATAATAGAGAAATGAAGTACTCCTTGCAGCAATATTTAATAAATAACAGTAAAGCAAAGTACAAATGCTAAACCAGATTTTCTTTTCATTTCAATATATTTAAAATTAAACTGTGAAATGTCTAGCAATCTCAATCTTCATGCAAAGCACCAATAATTTCTTTTGTAATCCTTTCTAATACTTCAAATATAAGTTGTGTTTAAATAATTTCACCAAATTTTGTTTATGGGATATCTGTTTCTTATAGAACTCCTTGACAAAGAAGACTTTAATTAGTTTGGATGGTTTTAATCACTAAGGATTAAAGAAGTCCTGGCAGTGGTTTACCTGAATCCATCTCCCACAAAGAATGGAGAGTTTGCAAGCCAGTCATGCACCACATTTGAGGTGAACTAACTTTTCATTATCTCTGCAATTGTTTTGCAGCAACAAACATAAGCATATGCATGAATTAAAATATAATAAACGTATGCATAATAAACATATGCATAAATTGCATACTCTTATGCAATTTCCAAAGCAAGTCAGTGATGTCTCAATTTTTTTTCCAAATTCCAGCTACGTTTATTCATCTGAACACCCAGCAAAAAAGGAACTTCTCAAAGTCTTCCAACTGCCAGATGCAACTCATTTTCAAACCTCTTAGGTCAATTTCCATTTACAAAATACATTAGCTTTTTGACTGAAGATAAGCAAGTTCTCTATCTCCATACAAATTTTTTTGAGGGAAAAAAGCTAAAATGTTGAAAATCTTTCAAGTATGATTATCTTTTGGTATTGTCTGCTTGTCTTAGAACTTGTTTTTCACAGAGATGTGCAACTCTTTCACACTTACCTGTATTGTGGACAGAAATGATCCAACTGTATGTAAGCAATTCCCCTTTACTAAAAACGAAATAAAAAACCATACAAAGCACACCCATCCCTCCCCCAGTGAAAACCCACCCCAAGAACCCATTCATAAGGACCAGTCTGAGGTCAGCTCAAGCATCTTCATGTCAGAAAAACAGCAAAAAGCCCCAACATTCTGTACAAAACTAAACTATTCTTAGAAACACAATGATTATCACAATACCTTTAATGAAGATAATTCTTAAATGCTTAATAGCATAGTCTAGGAAAACAATTTAGGAGCAGACCCACTTTTCAAACACTGGTTGGCAAATAAAAGAGAACCTTTTGGAAGGAACTAAACTTCAGTGGAGAGCAACAAGTCAAAAAGAAGAGTGTAGCCCAAACCAAACTTGAGCCAAACATTTTTAAGTGTGGAAATGCACATGGCATTTTTTCCAGAGAGGGGTTTGTTTCCTGCTTTATAGTTCTTTGGTAGTAAAACAACACCACAAAATCCAGACTCTCAGAGCTCATGTTCCACAGCAAGTAAAACATGGCACTTTGTAAAAACTTCAAATGGAGGAAATCTGTGTTACTTTTTACTCTCTTCCCAAAGGAAAAGCTCAGAAAGAGCTGCACAGGGAGGCACCCAACGCTACAACTGAAGGAAATGCTCTACCTTTCGTGGGTCTGCAAACTAAAGGCAAATAGTGTTACCTGCTACTTCACCCACACACCACAAAGAACTAGCCCAGATGAAATTCTGTGACTCTTAGCATATAAATACTGGCTTGAGCTAAGCACATTTTTCTTCCAAATTTTCACAAAAGAAGACTTGGAAGAGAATCAAGAGAGCCCTTGTCATTGCTGAATCCAAAAAGTCACTTTGCTGTCACAACAATCTGGAAACTAAACACCTTCACCAAAGAAATGAACATTTTCAATATTTTGTGACAAAAGACTTTTAAAAAATAGAATTTACCTAAATTGGGGGAAGAAGGCAAAGGTGGAGCAGGAAGGCACTTTTAACAACAGAAAACAAAGGAAACAGCTCAGCTCCTCTAACAATAATTGAGCAATTTTCTCTCAACAAGCTTTCTGCCCCAGCTGCTAATTCTGATCCTGGTACAATCTGCCTCCATCACAATTGTGCTGATAAATCTATTTGTATAGCTGCAACGTAAATTGCATCACTGAGATGTTCCCTTTTAAAATTACTTCCCCCCCTCTACCCCATTAATGTGATTCAGTGATTCAATTCTAAAACCAGATGCATCAGCACAACTGAAAGAACTGTGAGCCATGGTCTTCAAGTGAAAACTTCACAAAATAGTTTCTTTCTGAAGTCAAGGCACAACTACCAACTTTCAGAGATATGTTACTTTGCTTTACAGAAGGAAATGTCAATTATCAATTCCAAGAATATCAACACAGAATATGTTAATTAATTACAGCGTAATAGTACAATCAATTACTTGAAAAAAATTACTTTCAGTGCTTTGTCAAGCACTGAAAGCTCTTGAAAGAAGAGGGAACAGTGGCATGACATTAATATCTATCTTTAGAGAGAATAAAAGGAGGCTATTTCTGACAAATAAGATGAGAATGTGATGCTTGAGGAAGAAAGAAAACTGCAGAAAGGACTCCAACCATGCAGAAAGAGCTCTCTGTTGGAGAAAAATACTGGAAGAACTTGTGACCCACAACATATGAAAATAACTCTATCTTTAAAATTCCAGCTGATATTGATTTTGAGCTCAGACCATGGAAAGCTCATCTGTAAACATCTGGAACTAAAACCTGAAAATGATTCCATGTGTGAAAAAAGAAGAAATAACACTTTCAAAATGAAAAACAAGAAAGGGAATGATACCAATGACATGATTACTCTGTCTGACATATAAATCAGATAATCCTGAAAACAGCTAGAGCCACAGGGCTCTCATTTACCGTGGCCCAAGCACACATTCATTCTCTGACCTAAGCTCCAGCACCAGCATAATGGAAAGAGCGTGTAAAACTTTACTAAGTAGATGAAGAAGAAGTAGAAACAGCTGTTCTACTTCCAAATATGTAAATACAATATTAAATACACACACTGTATATATCTATATATAAAGAGATATATGCACTCTTGCTTCTCCTATGCACAGCAAGTATTTAAGCTGAATTCAAGTTCTTTGAAGTGTTTTCCAAAATCAGCACATCTGGCATCTGTGAGGTCACAGGATCAAAAATATGCATACTTTTATATTATTCTCATGGAATTTTAGAATGTTACATGATAAGGGCATAGAGGCTCTGGCTGAGATCAGCCCTTTGCTGTGACATTCTCTGTGTAAGCACCTGGTGCAAATATAAAGTTGTGATGCACCTGCAACATGTTAGTGAACACACCTCATTTATTTGAGAAAGCTAAACCAAAATTTACACTTAGAGCTGTTTAAATATAGCTAAAAGACATTTACTTCCAGACCTAGTTAGAGCAATGGAGATGTCAGTTGCCCAGGTTGGAGGCAATCAAGCCCTACAGCTCCCCAGGCAGTTTGAGAACTCCCTCATCTACATCTATGCCAAGTTTTCACAGAGAGCTTCAAAGTGCCATCAACAGTGTCTTGGATTACAATGTATGACACTGACATGGAAAAAATTATGGATAGCAAACACTCTCTTCTTCCAGCTCAGCTGAGGAATGTTAACCTCTGAACAGCAAGAAAGAGGGGCAGAAGCAGGCACATGGGGAGTGCTCATGTCTTTGACTGCTATAGCCCTCTTTCAATGATAATCTAAAAGTGGTCTTAGCTTAAACTGAATGATGAATGGCTTTGCTGATGGGTGAAATTACACATGGCCAGGGACAACATGCCTACTACTCACTGACAGAGTCCATATAATTTTCTGACTAGCACAGCACTATGTTTTTCTTCAAAACTGTTCCAGAGCCGCACATACACTTTGTGCAAAAGAGCTGTTGGACAATATAAACAGTAATGACAACAATGCAAATTAGAACTTAGGGTGTCCTCCTCTGCAAATAACTACAGGCTACAAGAATCATAAGAGCAATCTTGATCTCAAAATCTTGCATACCTGGCCAGCTTTATTTCAACAGCAAGACCAAACAATGGTATTCAAAGGGGATGAGGACAAGCCTTATTTCAACCCATGCACCTAGTTTCCCTAGTTTAGCTCTACAGTCTGTGCAAAGAAGTTTTTTTTAACTTCTCAAGGTTACTCAGAACAGCTAAAACCACAGTATCTATTCTAAACAGGCTTTTAGGAAAAGGGAAACAAGAGAGAAATTCTCTGATAATTGGAATGACTCTCTGGAAGACTGGTCCCACCAGGATACAAAAGTCAGCCTCTGCATCTTACATGTCCACAGCTTCTAGAAAGTAGAAATGAGTAGCAAATGCAAATTTCTCCTGATTTAGAAAGGACTCAAATGAATCTCCACTTCTCATTTCTGGGAGAACTGTTCTAATGGATGTGCTTTATTTTATATGCGGGTATTAAAACACTTTGCTCTCCAAATACGGTTTTGAATTAATATGACACTGTGGCACTGGTTTTGAGTGCTTTTGGATTCATGCACACAAGAAAACCTCTTCCATAGAATTCATCCAGAGACTTGCACATGCCAGGCTTGAGCAGCCATATGCAGGAGATGGGCAAACTCCAGTGCAGAAAAGGGTATTTCTGCTCACAGAGACAAGCAGGACCAGCAAACATGAAAAAGACCACATCCATTAGGTGGATATGATGATTTAGCAAGCAAAATTGATGCCCATGATTTAATCTGTAATTTCCAACATCTTGCTCTTTTTCCTCACAACCTTTCCTGGGGGTTTTTTTGAGTATTTTTAGCATTCCATACATTTCAAGATTGATGTAACACTGTCGCCTCCACCAGAACTCCTTCAGAGCAGCACG